CCTCAATTCTTGGATACTTAATCAATACAAAGAGCAGCAACTTAACATCTTTTAAGTAAGGTAAGCATGGCAATTATTCGGTTTACAGAACTTTCCTTAAAAGTCACAACAAAAATAGTCACAAAGGGAGAGATTAAAGTTGTAACTCACTTTTCAAAGGATCTTTCCTTAAAACTTTTTTTAAAAAAATCATGTCCGATTCTTGGAGAGGCACGTCCCTGCAATTCTGTGGCAAGGCTTTTTTCAAAAGTGATTTGCTGTTGCCTCTTTCCTAGGCTGAGAGAAAGTTAGAAAGAAAATAAAAGAGAAAGTCTAGAAAGACACCAGTTGGCTTTGTGCCTAAGGCGGGAATAGAAATCATGGTTTCTTGATTTCTAGCCTGATGCCTTAACCATTGCACCAAATTGGCTCTTCCTTAAAAGTAATGGCTGTCAATTTTGCCTATTAAAACAGGACAATGCTGAACTTCTGGAGCTTTAGCTAAGCCACAGTCAACCTGTGACATTTCAGCTGATCTACAGACAAGAGTGTTTTGATAATGCTTGTTCTAACTGTATTTCAAAATTAGCAAGTTGGAGCAATATCTGGCCTTTACAACCTTTATCTTCTGATCTAAATATCTAATTCACATTAAACAGAAAGGAGTTCCCATGAGATTCAGATGACCACTTCAATAATAATCACACACACTGATCATCACAGGAGATTTGGGGCCTATAGTTTAAAGATACGTTGTCCAAGATGCTTAAGGGGCGTTACAAAGTTTTAACATGGTCATGCATGTATGTGGTGCTGAAAACTATGTGCAAAATGTAATTTTTTACATGGTAGAAGGGAAAATTATTTAGTATATATTAAATGCCTGGAGAGTGCACTTGATTTTGTGCTTTGCCTTGGTGGGACTTGGTTCACAATTTGGGGAGGGCTGAGATTTGTCCGTGGGTTATTGGGGGTTTCCGTCTTCTGATTTACTGTAACCTTAATTAAATGTAAATATAAATTATATTTATTTATTTATTGTGTATGTAGGGGGGAGAGAATGCAGTCCACAGCATATTTTTCAAACTACAGCAGCCCTTAGCCTGAAAAAAAAAATCTGTACTTCTCCTTTAAAACTACATTATGAAGTTCAAGGCATTAATTTGTAAATGTTATTTCTATAAGAAGGTACTTTTGGGTTCAATATGAAGTTGTGTTACTGCATCTGGTCTATTTTTATGGCTTGGTCACCAGTCATTTTATATACCAGATTCCTTTAATAATATAAGAAGTGCTTTGCCAATCAATAGCTAATTGGACCCAAGTTTCTTTGTCACATTTTGGCTAACCAGGTATATTCTGAATGGGAGGGGGTAGAACCCCCTTTGGCTGTCTCTCCCTAGAAACTGGTATAATATCAATATGCTCAATCACATATTAAGATATTTTATTTTGATACAGGAGATAATATATAACACAAGATCAGAAGCCATTGAAATTTATTTATTTTATTTATTTAATTACATTTATATCCCGCCCTTCTCCTTTCGGACTCAGGGCGGCTAACAATCAATTAAAATACAAAAAATACAAAACCCCTGTTAAAATTAATTAAAACGAAATATTTAACTGTGATCTAATTAAAAGTAATTAAAACCCCTTTAAAATCCCTTAGGCCAGTCCCGCAAGCTGGAAC